CTACTTACATCTATCGTCTAATGTATACTGATGTATACAACAGATTCGTCTACTTACATCTATCGTCTAATGTATACTGATGTATACAACAGATTCGTCTACTTACATCTATCGTCTAATGTATAATGATGTATACAACAGATTCGTCTACTTACATCTATCATCTAATATACACTGATGTATACAACAGATTCGTCTACTTACATCTATCGTCTAATATATAATGATGTATACAACAGATTCGTCTACTTACATCTATCGTCTAATGTATAATGATGTATACAACAGATTCGTCTACTTACATCTATCACCTAATATATAATGATGTATACAACAGATTCGTCTACTTACATCTATCGTCTAAAATATAATGATGTATACAACAGATTCGTCTACTTACATCTTTCATCTAACATTCTTGCCCTTTCAGACTTAGGGGCGTTATTATGTGACAATCAATCCCATTTTCGGTGATAGAAGAGTAGCCCATGAGTTGGCGGTGGGCGTCGACTAGCTGCTTTCTCTCTAATCTATCGGTTCTAAATTATGGACGGATAGTACAAGTTGTCCTCGAGTAGCTTTGTGCGAAATTCAACAAAACCAAACAACTTATATTTAATTCATTGTTGTGAGTTATTTTATAAAACGTATAATGATTGGTTCATTGTTGTGAGTTATTTTATAAAAACTATAGTGATTGGCTATATATATTTTTGAACGTGAATTTCAAAACTTGATTATTTTTTTCTTAATAACATCCATATATACACCTGAGTTACAAATTACATTTAATTTCCAGTTTTTATCTTCTAAAAATGCTCTCCTACTTTATCGGAAAGTTCTGATAACGAGGCTTATATTGTAGGCATTTATTGGTTTCCCAAAACACTGAAAATGGGTTCTTCTTGATTACTTAGAGTCCAAGTTCCTTGTTATATAGATCCCAAATAAATTAACAAACATGTAAAAATATTACCTTTTATGAATCGGTTTTTGGCGAATGTTTTAAATGCTCTTTTATGTCATCCAACTAAAACATTTAACACCCTGGAGGTTTCTCCCTTCAAATGTCTTTCGAGGTTAATTTTAGTTTCATAAAGTCTTTAAAAGAAAGTCTGTGTGTGAACTACGTTTGTTTAATTATTTGATATTTTAAAGCCAAACTTGATAAAGGGTATGTTAAGGAAAAACGTGTATGTTTCAAGTGGATTTACTTCCTTATGATAATTGTGTAATAATAATTTAGAATTAGTCAATCTGTCCAAGACTGGAGTGTTCAGTGGTTATAGTATTCTGAGGATCCTTCGAGGGTTCGTGATTCATGACCAGATGCCGTAAAAACGCGTTCTGCACTTTGGGACCATGGGTGCTGTTGACTAGCTACCTTCACTGTAACTTATCAGATCAAAGGTAAAGACGGATATACGTAGACAGACCTTTGACGAAGAAACATCAGGATCCGCAGAAACCTTCAGTAAAAGTTTGGATCCTGTTCCTCACATTGATATGAAAACTTATGGTCGTGTAGGATGGAGGCATGTACTTTCCTGTGTTAAATATACGTAACATAAGGCTTAGCTGAAACACTACATGATAAATTTTATTTTGCTTTTAGCTACAACTCAATGTCGTAAAATTTCTGAATTAAATTATTTTGCTCTTATATCACCGAAGTTATCATAAAAAAAAAGAAAGAATAAAAAAAAACAATCCTTTCTAACAAATTAACATGATTATTGAACATTCAACATAAACACCATAGTTGGCCTAAGGTGATAGTTTTGTTGCTAAGCGACGAAGTATATTTTTAAGCATTACCAAAAAAGGAGCGTGAAAACGTTTTCGACAGAGTGACAAATGGGATAAGCACTTTATAGTTAATGATTACCAGTTCATTGTATCCTTACGGAATTTAAACACAAAATAGAAGTCTTTTCTGACAGTATCTCATACAACCCACGATTTGGTGTTCCGATGGAATATTTCCACCCCTCTAGTCATCAACCCAGATATAGAACTTCCACAGTTGGACATTGCTGAAAACAGAACTGAAGATTGTACTTTGGAATATTCAACTGGTAAGTACAAGATATCTCCGTAGTATTTAACTGGTAAGTACAAGATATCTCCGTAGTATTTAACTGGTAAGTGCAAGATATCTCCGTAGTATTTAACTGGTAAGTGCAAGATATCTCCTGTAGTATTTAACTGGTAAGTACAAGATATCTCCTGTAGTATTTAACTGGTAAGTACAAGATATCTCCTGTAGTATTTAACTGGTAATTACAAGATATCTTCTGTAGTATTTAACTGGTAAGTGCAAGATATCTCCTGTAGTATTTAACTGGTATGTACAAGATTCTTCTGTAGTATTTAACTGGTAGGTACAAGATATCTTCTGTAGTATTTAACTGGTAGGTACAAGATATCTCCTGTAGTATTTAACTGGTAAGTACAAGATATCTCCTGTAGTATTTAACTGGTAAGTACAAGCTATCTCCTGTAGTATTTAACTGGTAAGTACAAGATATCTCCTGTAGTATTTAACTGGTAGGTACAGGATATCTCCTGTAGTATTTAACTGGTAAGTACAAGATGTCTCCTGTAGTATTTAACTGGTATGTACAAGATGTCTTCTGTAGTATTTAACTGGTAGGTACAGGATATCTCCTGTAGTATTTAACTGGTAGGTACAGGATATCTCCTGTAGTATTTAACTGGTAAGTACAAGATATCTCCTGTAGTATTTAACTGGTAAGTACAAGCTATCTCCTGTAGTATTGTACTTACCAGTTGAACACTACAGGAGATATCTTGTACTTACCAGTTAAATACTACAGAAGATATCTTGTACTTACCAGTTAAATACTACAGGAGATATCTTGTACTTACCAGTTAAAGATATCTCCTGTAGTTTTTAACAGGTAAGTACAAGATATCTCCTGTAGTATTCAACAGGTATTTACAAGATATCTCCTGTAGTATTTAACTGGTAAGTACAAGATATCTCCTGTAGTATTCAACAGGTAAGTACAAGATATCTCCTGTAGTATTTAACTGGTAAGTACAAGATATCTCCTGTAGTATTGAACTGGTAGGTACAAGATATCTCCTGTAGTATTTAACTGGTAAGTGCAAGATATCTCCTGTAGTATTTAACTGGTAAGTACAAGATATCTCCTGTAGGATTCAACTGGTAAGTACAAGATATCTCCTGTAGTATTTAACTGGTAAGTACAAGATATCTTCTGTAGTATTTAACTGGTATGTACAAGATGTCTCCTGTAGTATTTAACTGGTAAGTACAAGATATCTCCTGTAGTAGTTGAAAACTACAGGAGATATCTTGTACTTACCAATTGAAAACTACAGGAGATATCTTGTACTTACCAGTTAAATACTACAGGAGACATCTTGTACATACCAGTTAAATACTACAGGAGACATCTTGTACATACCAGTTAAATACTACAGGAGACATCTTGTACATACCAGTTAAATACTACAGAAGATATCTTGTACTTACCAGTTAAATACTACAGAAGACATCTTGTACATACCAGTTAAATACTACAGGAGACATCTTGTACATACCAGTTAAATACTACAGGAGACATCTTGTACTTACCAGTTAAATACTACAGAAGATATCTTGTACTTACCAGTTAAATAGTACAGGAGACATCTTGTACTTACCAGTTAAATACTACAGGAGACATCTTGTACATACCAGTTAAATACTACAGAAGATATCTTGTACTTACCAGTTAAATACTACAGGAGACATCTTGTACATACCAGTTAAATACTACAGGAGACATCTTGTACATACCAGTTAAATACTACAGAAGATATCTTGTACTTACCATTTAAATACTACAATAGATATCTTGTACTTACCAGTTAAATAGCGTCATCTGAGTTTACTTACAAAGTAATAACACAGGTCAATACTACAGGAGATATCTTGTACTTACCAGTTGAAAACTACAGGAGATATCTTGTACTTACCAGTTGAAAACTACAGGAGATATCTTGTACTTACCAGTTGAAAACTACAGGAGATATCTTGTACTTACCAGTTGAAAACTACAGGAGATATCTTGTACTTACCAGTTAAATACTACAGGAGATATCTTGTACTTACCAGTTAAATACTACAGGAGATATCTTGTACTTACCTGTTGAATACTACAGGAGATATCTTGTACTTACCTGTTAAAAACTACAGGAGATATCTTGTACTTACCTGTTAAATACTACAGGAGATATCTTGTACATACCAGTTAAATACTACAGGAGATACCTTGTACTTACCAAAACTGGAGAACAGGTTGGCTCAAATATAACCCGTGTTATTACTTCATAGATACATTCAGATGACCATG